GGAAGGGGAACAGACAAGTTGCTGTCGTTTTGTTCTTCAGTCTAGTTGTGGAGGACGTTGCTTCACTGGCCCATGTTGGTATTATCATTGCTCTCTTCCCGGCCCACTGCAGCTCTACTGCAGCCTACGCTGTTGCCGGCGACTCAAGGCAGCCCAGCTCCAGGTTGAGCTGTTGTTCACCATCGTAGCTGTAGAGGGCGCAGCATCACTGGCCCTAATGTGGGATTGGAACCGGGGTCCTGCTGCTCAGAACTGGCATCCCAAGCCAACTCTTAACCAATGTGCCACTTGGCTGGCCCAGTACTAATATATTAACATCATTAATAATGATAATAATGCCATGTTATTTTCTTAAAATATTTTGGCTTTATAAATTTAAAAAGAGTTACTTGGCTCAGCTTTTAGATATGCTTCCTATTAAACTTTCTAATTCTATTAGAAAAATATAAGCATGTTAAAAATTATCTGAAATAAAAAGTAATGCTGTTTACCTTTTTCTTATTCTTTATTAGGTAAGAATTCTCTATGCCTGTGGTTTTAGTGTTTTGTTGACCAGTTATACACACTCTGCTGTTGACAACATTCTTTTGAAGTTAGCGAAATTTAAAATAGGATTTTTGCGCTTGGGTCAAACTCAGAAGGTACATCCAGATATCCAGAAATTTACAGAGGAGGAAATTTGCAGATCAAAATCCATTAACTCTTTAGCTCTTCTAGAAGAACTCTACAATAGTCAAGTAAGTAATAAGTATGGTATAACAATGCTGACAGTAATTTTTGTGGCCAGACTGAGGGGAGAAACAGCACTCTGGAAAATTCAGTTGCATTGACCAAATTTACACGTGATCAACTCATATAAACCACAGGACCAGTTTACTAATTTATTGTTTGCTGTTTGCTTCTGAACTGAAATGAGGTTTTTGGTTTATTATTTAGGGATTCCCACCTTCTAGTTTAAAATAACCTAGTAAAGGAAAACTGTTTCTCTCTACTCACAACACTTTATTTTTTTTTAAGATTTTATTGGGGGAATTGGGGAAGGGAACAGTGTTGGGGAATTGGGGAAGGAGAACATTGTGTTTTTCCAGGACCCATCAGCTCCAAGTCCAGTCGCTGTCGGCAGCTTGCGGCCGCCCAGCTCAAGGTGTCGTGTTCAATCTTAGTTGTGGGGGGGCACAGCCCCTCATCCCATGTGGGAGTCAAACCGGCAGTCTTGTTGTTAGGAGCATGTGCTCTCACCAGCTGAGTCATCTTGCCACCTGTTGGCAGCTCAGTGGCAGCTCAGCTTGGGCTCAGCGTCACTGGCCCATGTGGGAATCAAACTGGCGACCCTGTTGCTCAGAGCTCGCGCTCCAACCAACTGAGCCATTTGGCCGGCTCTCACAACACTTCTGACACTAACAGCCTGGAGTTAGTGCAGACCCTACAGTTTAAGCGCTTAGTCCCACAAGACTGCTTCCACTTCAGTACTCAGTTGTAAGTCCAGGCCTCCTGTGCTTTGTCTGAACAACCAGCTATAAATCAGATTACCATGACCCACTCCTTGGATTCAGCAATTCACTAGAATGGCTCACAGAACTGAAGAAAGTGCTTTACTTACTATCACTGGATATATTATATAGGATACAGTTCAGGAACAGCCAAATGGAAGAGATGCACAGGGTAGGGTATGTGGAAAGGCTCCGGGAGCTTCTGTACCTGCTCCACGTGAACACCCTCCTGTGTTAGATCTTTTGTTTTGTTGCACGGGTCCATGAGACTTCCTTATTATTTTTCTCCCCAGTGTTTTCTCTCTGTTACTCAGACTATAATTTCTATTTTTCTTAATTTTTTTTTTTCAATTGCATTTGACATTCAATATTCTATTAGTTTTGGGTGTACAACATAGTGATTAGACATTTATAGAATTTACAAAGTGATCCCCTGATGAGTCTAGTACCCATTTGGCACCATACACAGTTATTACAACATTATCGACTATATTCTCTATGCTGTACTTTATGTCCCCCAGACTATTTTGTAACTGCCAATTTGTACTTCTTAATCCCTTCATCTTTTTGACCCAGCCCACTAATAATTTATATTTTTCTATGTCTCTGTTCACTGATTCTTTTTTTTGTCTCCTGCTTTTGAGCCTATTCTATGATTTTATTAAATTTCAGTTATTGTATTTTCAGTTTTAAAATTTCCATTTGGTTCTTTTATCTTTTTCTTTGCCGAGACTTTCTATTTTGTTGAGACTGTCTATGTTTTCATTTGATTCAGGCGTGTTCATAATTGCTCATTGAAATATTTTTATCATGCTGCTTTAAAATTTTGCTCCTGTAATTTTAACATCACTGTCATCTTGGTGTTGGCATCTATTGATTTGGTTTTTTTTTCATTTAGTATGAGATTTTCCTGGCTCTGTGTATAACGAGTGATTCTGGATGAAACCTGAGTGTTTTTGTGTTACATTATTTAAAACTTGTATTAGCTGGCTTCCTCTGACACTACGCTGGTAGGGCAAGTGGGTAGGCCACCTCATTACTGCCAGGTGGGACTTGAAGTCCAGCTTCCTCACCGGCCTCTTAACACATGAGATGGGTGCCCCTCCTTACTGCTAGATAGGGAAGGAAGTCGAAGCTCCCCAAGCAGTCCCCATTGACATTGCGGGTGGGGGCTTATTACCAGTCAGCAGGGTGTAAGTCCTGGCTCCTTACTTGGCCCTCTCTGAACTACCCAGGTAAGGTATTGGGGAGCCTTATTATATAGCTTCAGGACGGCTGAAATCTAGGCTCCCCATTTGGCCTCTGCTGGGGATTGGAATGAGGGCTCAGTTTCTTCTGTGGTGTATGGCTAGAGTAGAGTGGTTCTTGTATAAAACTTTTCCGTCTACAACGCTTTCCCTTTCCTGTTGCTTTGGCTTTTGTTGGAGCTTTTTTTTTTGTCTATACCCATTGGTGTTCTTGGCTTGCTAGCTTTCACATCTGGGCTATATGAGGTGAAAAGAAAACTTAGGGAGCAAACCACTGGGATGTTCCTTGGGTCCCAAGATTCCTAGCTTGTCAACCTTTTCTCCACCTTTCAGATTTCTTATGTTTGTTTTATATATAATGCCCAGGGTTTTTAGTTGTGCTCTGTGGGAGAAATAAGGAAAAGTACTCCATCTTTCCAGAAGTCCTAGTTGACATTAAAAAAAAACATTAACAACTTGCTGCCTCTTGAGTGTTTCAGATTTCTATTTGGAAATATCCAAATTTGAGCATTGTTATAGTGCTTGGAAGATTTACTTGATTTTTTTCAATTTGTAGTAAAAAATTAAGTTTTTTTTTTTGCATGCTGTAAATATTTCAGAATTAAATAATATTGGGTGATTCGTGTTATTGGGGACAAAAACTTTTTTTTGATCTTTTAATTTCAAAAATGGGAAAAACAAGGTATATTTCTTGGATACACTAAATGATCTGTTTTGTTTTTAGCTTATAGTTGCAACTACATGTATGGGAATAAATCATCCAATATTTTCTCGTAAAGTTTTTGATTTTTGTATTGTGGATGAAGCCTCTCAAATTAGCCAACCGGTTTGCTTAGGGCCACTGTTTTTCTCACGGAGATTTGTGTTGGTGGGAGATCATCAGCAGCTTCCTCCCCTGGTGCTAAACCGTGAAGCAAGGTAAGCAGATGTTGAAGTTTTAATTTTAAACTATTGGGTTGTTGGAAAAGTCATGATTCGGGCCGGCTGAGTGGTGCGTTAAGAGTTTGCTTGGAAAGCCAGCTCTGAGCAGCAGGGCCCTGGTTTGGATCCCACATGAGGGCCAGTGACACTGTACCCTCTACAACTAAGATGGTGAACAACAGCTCGACCTGGAGCTGGGCTGCTATAAGTTGCTGGTGACGGCGTAGGCTGGAGTGGGGCAGGCCGGCAGCTGGGTGAGCTTTTGTGAGCTGCCATAAGCTGCTGTGAGCGGCCGTCCAATGGCCAGNTTACCCCACTTTCCTAAGAATATTACTAAAAGCATTTTGTTTTCTTTTCAGCCAAAAACTTCGAGATTTAATCATTGACTTTCGTGAACCTCAGTTTATATCCTACCTCAGTTCTGTTCTTCCACACGATGCAAAAGATACAGTTGCCTGCATTCTAAAAGGTATGTGTAATCAGCATGTCTGCTGCCATTACTTTTTCTTGGTTCTGCTTATAATTTAATCTATATTATAGTCTATTGTTTTAATAATTTATATGCAGTTATAGTTTTTAGACAGTCTTTGGAAGCAGTTGACGTATGTTCTTAAGCATCACCATATTTACTTACTTTGAAAAAATGTATTGAAGAACAAACTTGAATAGAGACTGCTTTTATAAGATGGTGAACTTGCTCTTTGAAATTCAACACTCTTTTTCCTGTTATTTTAAAATTTAAATGTAGGTTTGAATAAGCCTCAGAGGCAAGCAATGAAAAAGGTACTTCTTTCAAAAGACTACACACTCATCGTGGGTATGCCTGGAACAGGAAAGACAACTACAATATGCACTCTTGTAAGGTTATTATTCTTTTGCTTAGAAACTAAATATTGAAATCAGCTTCTCCTTAGTTCAGAGAATGTGATGGTGATATCAAAAGGGCTGAATTTTCAATTAAAGTGCTGTTGTTTCAAAGTAACTTTTTAGAATGATATGAGAAATAGAAAAGCTAAATCACAAATAGTTGTCATCATGTTGTAGATTTCTTGCATTTAGGATTTTCTAAGACCTCTTTCTATTGGTGGTATGTGTATCATTGTATATTTTCCTTCTCTTTAAAAAAATGATCAATTATACAGAGGTGGTTAAAATACATTTTTCTTGGATTGTTTTTCATATCAGTAAATTTCTGAGCAGTCTTAGAATAATCATAATGATGGCAGCAGATATTTATTGATTAATAATGCATGCCAGGCACTATTTAAAGTTCATACATATTTAATGTTATTGTCAGTAATGGTATATATATATATACACACCATTTTATATATATATATGTGTGTGTGTGTGTATAAAATTATATATATATATGTATATAT